TAAACTTCCCCGGGAGACCAGACTTGTCCACTGCTGCTAGCCATGCCTTTAGCTTTAGCTGGGCTGCCTCCACTGCTGCTTTGTCCTTCAGAGTGCTATCGAAGATCTTCCCCAAGCTCTTCACAGGCTTCTCTGACACTGTCGGAATTGGGACTCCATCCACGCAGAAGCGGTATTTGTCCTCCACTTTCCCCTTCCTCAGGACAAGGGATCTGGACTTGGCTGGCTTAAATATCATCCTTGCCCATGCCATGATCCTTTCCAGACCACGGAGGAGCCACCGGCATCCAGTCACTGATGTTGATGTGACAGTCAGGTCATCCATGTAGGCCCTAATTGGTGGTTGGCGAATGCCAGATCTGGACAAGGGGCCCCTACATTCCACTTCTGCAGCCTTGACCAGCATGTTCATAGATAGGGCAAACAACACCACTGACATGGTGCAACCAGTGATAATGCCCTTCTCTAGGCGGTGCCATGCAGATGTTGTTGTTCCAGTGGTGAATCTCAAACTGAAACCACTGTAGTAGTCCCATATGAGTTCAGTGATCTTCTCAGGAACGTGGTATGTTGTCAGAGCTTTTGACACAAGCTTGTGTGGAATAGATCCGTAGGCATTTGCCAAGTCAAGCCAAAGGACTGCAAGGTCTCCTCGGTTTTCTCTCGCCTCCCGTATCAGCTGGGTGATCACTCCTGTATGTTCCAGACAGCCCGGCATGCCTTGAACTCCGCCCTTCTGCACAGAGGTGTCAATGTAGGAATTTCTCAGGAGATACTCAGATAACCTGTTAGCAAGAATCTTAAAGAAGATTTTGCCTTCCACACTGAGTAGGGAGATGGTGCGGAACTGCGTGATGTCACTCGCATTCTCCTCCTTTGGTATCCAAACACCCTCTGAGTGACGCCATTGCTGGGCCACCTTCCCCCTCCTCCATACTACCCTAATAAGTCTCCAGAGCCTCTCCAGGAGTCTCGGGCAATGTTTGTAGACTTTGTAGGGCACTCCACTTGGACCTGGGGCTGCACTAGTCCGTGCAGCTCGTACGATGTTCCTGACCTCTGCCAGGGTGGGTTCCTTAATGTTAAACTGGACAGATGGTATCGGAGGTGTGGGTAGCTCTCTGCAGGTAGGCAGTTCCTCCTCTCTCCTGCTGTCGCTGTATGTGGCACTAAGGCTCTGGTTGATCTCATTCTCTGAGCATTGTAGGGTCCCACTCCTTGTCTGCCCCAAAAGCCGCTTCGTAAATCCAAACGGATTTGCAACAAAGGCTGTTCGCTTACGAGCCCTCTCTCTGCCTCTCCGCCTGTGCCACTCAGCCCGACGCAGAGATATAAGTCTCTGCCTCAGGATGCCACGGAGTTCTCTCAGGGCTGGTCTTTCCTCCTCACCCGCCTTCTTATACTGGCGATTCAGGGCTTTGAGCTCTTTCCTGAGCTGGGAGATCTTGGTCTCACGCCGGTTTGGCCTAGCAAAGTTCTGAGCCTTTGGTAATTTTATGCCAAATCTCTCTGCACCGATGCTGATGATTAGTGTGCTCATCAACTGGAGTCTCTGATCAACTTCTCCTCTGCAAGATGCATTTAGAGTAGCATCAACATCCTCATCAAACTGCCGCCACTGAGCCTCCTTGTTTGCAGCCGGCCATAAAACCCGACGCTGTTCTGATGGTTTGCTAGGTGTAGCATGTCGAGCATGGAGGTTCTGGAAACTGTGGGGTGCCTCCGGTTCCTGCTCCTCCTCCGTCTCACCAGGGTCAGTGCTTGGCACTGGCTCTGTGCGTTGCTCTGCTTGCTTCCTCCTTATGCAGCCCATCTTTGCCTGGTGGATCCTCAGGCCCCTAAGGTTCTTACAGACCTTACCGCAAAAGCAGGTTGCTGTCGTTGTCGAAAATCCATTGCCTATGTCTGTTACCGGGTAATCCGTCCGTTTGGGGTGCTCATCCTCCCCCCCTCTCGGGCACCCCTGAGGGTATTTTCCTGTAAGACTTTCTGTAGCAAAGTGTGGCTGCTCCCTCACAGGAGCTGCAGATCAGGGTGCTAACCTTTACTGCACCGATTGCCGTCTCTCCGTGCTGTCCACTGTCTCTCCAGTCGTCTAAGCTAAGTTAGATCATTTCTCACTCTTTCTATCCCTCTTTTTCTTTTTGCTTTGTTTTTACCATTATGGACCCTGCCGCAGGTGGTTTGTCTAACCTAGCTGCCTCTTAGCTCCTCTTAACTCCGCCTCTTTTTTAGTAGTATTATTGGAGAAGTAGACCTCTACTTTGAAAGTAATTGTACCCTTTTCAACATTATTTCCTGACATGAATCAGTTTCACTGAGATTCTATTTACAGAATTTTAAGCAGATTTTCTTTCAATTTAAAAGTTTTAAATTGATCAGAGAAAACCCAATTACACCTTAGAATATTTATTTTATTTTTGCAGGTTTTGCATATAGAGCACCTCTGTCCTCTGCCAGCTATGTGAGATATGTTTGACTTCATGTTTACTTAACTGGAGTTTGAGATCTATTTGGTGTCAGTGTTACACTACTTTCAGAAATCACTAACCCTAACTTAATTGATTTTATTCTTCTTTGAGTGAGCTAGCATTTAACAGAAATTAGATTCCATTGAATGACTTTCATAATTTGGTAATCAAAATGTAATGAGCATGTGAGAATACACATGAATATTAAGTTACAACCAGTGTTCAAACCCTTACCAAAATACAGCTTGTTTGAGCCTTATAACAACAGCTTAAAACATATTAGTGTAGCATAGTGTAGCATGTGATCCATCCTGTTTGGTTTGTGTTTACACATCATTAACACATGAAATGATCAAAATCATCAAAGAACATTTTGTTTACTATAAGCTGCCCGTAACAGTGCCAGACCTTGTACCTCTGCCCATGGAAGGGTTTACTTTCCTCCAGCAGTTAGCAGCTTAGCATGGCACGATCACAGCAAGGGGGATTCCTTTATCCCATGTGTCACTCACCAAGGGAAAGGCTTCCTTAGGATGATTTCACTCCCAGTCCAGATCTGTAACTTCTTAAACTCAGAGAAAACTGTTGTAAATACTGTGTTTTGCAGCAAAGTTGGTTCTAAAACCTCAACCATCGTCTTAGCCTTGGTCATTCTTTCTTTACTTTCTAAAATTCAGTTTCTGCTGCAAAAGTGTAATTTCCAGTCTGAAGGAGTGGGTTTCAAACTCACAACCGCAGGATTCAAAGCCCTATGCTCTAACCACTATGTGGCTACTTCGTCTACATAACTCTATGTAACCATACTTATGTAATTGTGGCCTTAACTAGGTGTGCTAAATACAGATAAGCATAGCCCACTCACTAGCTTTATTTTAACTTCCTAAACCACTTCAGGTAAGACAAATCATGTAATTTATCAGAACTAGATAATAGGTTAATACAATATGTGAATCCTTAATAGTTTACCCATACCCTAAACCCTCAACTTCTAAGCACAATATTAGACAAAAAAAGAATACAACATACCAACTTTATTGAATCACACTGCTTAGTGTTAAATTAAAATACAAAGGATTTTTAGTTCTTTATCACAAGTTGTTGGATCCATTTTGTCAGCGTGCTTGTTCAGCTCAGATGTGCAGTTTCTCTTGTGTCCTCTAAGTTCAGACCATCAGACAATTAAGTAATATTTTCTTTCCTTTTCTATATGTCAGTGTTAACTGTAAGCTAATGTACCTTAATCATTTTGTATCCGGTGTCAATGCAGATCTATTACTGTCTAAAATGAACCAGTGTAAAGCATTATGATGCTTCAATCTATGTGTAAACAGGTCAAAGGGAGCCAGGGGAAATTTTTTGTTGCTGTTTTATTTTTCTAGCCTTTAATAGAGAAAATAGACATTTATATGTTAGAAAGAAGGAGGAAGTAACCATAGAGTTCTATTTATAGGAAGAAGGCGGGCTTTAAAGGCGGGCTTTATTCTGAGGCCCCAACAGGAAAAGATAAGTGATCAGATCGTGAGGTGACGCCATGATGGAAACATCTCTGCAGTATCTGCTCTGTAAGTACAAAAGCTGTTTTTTTAAAGTAAATTTACTTTTTGCACTGTTATAACCTGAGGCCTGGCCAAAAGGTTATGTTGAACTCCAAGAAAGAAATGCTACACATTAAGCAGCAAGAGGAATTACTTTAATGCCCTCTTTAATGCCTGCTTTAAGGCACAAAGCTAAAATTTACTGATATTATATGAAAGAGATAGCAAATTACAGAATTATAAAAAATGTAATAAACTTTGCAAACGAAAATGATCATAAACATTTATATGTAAAACTGTAACAAAGAATTTAATTTCTCAGTTCCCTGTTTGCTGCTTTGCTGCATAATAAATGAAGGTTGGTTCATTTCTATTAACATTAAACTCAATCAATATTCTGATTAGTTTAATATACATAATTTTTATAGATACTACAAATCAATGTTTTTTTTGAAATTTCAGTCCTTCCAGCTGGTCTGACTGTGAGTCCCAGCAGATCTCAGTTCTTTCAATATCAATCTGTGTCTCTGAGCTGTGAGGAGAACAACAGCTCTGCTGGATGGACTGTATGGAGGAACACAACCAGAGGAACCAGGACTCAGTGTGGAAAGGAATGGGGGACTTCATCTGGTTCTACCTGTAAGATCAGCAGCCTCCTCCCATCAGACAGTGGAGTTTACTGGTGTTGGTCGTCCAGAGAGGGAGCAGCCAGCGGCAGCATCAACC